ATGAATTCATTCTTTCTCTTTCCTGTAAATCAATAAGGAGGTAAAAAAAATGCGTCATCCTCCTGAAGAACAATACAAAGGAATGTTGCACAATTTATAAAGATTGCTTTGCCTTTCTTCCCTTTCTTTTTTTGCCTTGTTCTTTTTTTCTTTTTATTATTATTATTAAGTAACTAACCAAAAGAGACAGTCAGATGAGAAAACGCCGATCGCACGCGAATTCTTTTTCGCTGAACACGCGCGCAGAAGCGACCTAATATGTGATAATGCAAAAACGACAGGAGTGCATATATACCGGGTGGTACGAAGAGCAGTAAAGTGAAAAAATTTCCAAGACCTCGCACATGTTCGCTACTTAAGAATGATTGTCCGATTTTTCAACGTTCTTTCCCATTCTGAAGTACTCGTATGCACACTCTTGGCGTTCGTTTTTTTTTCTTTTTTCTTTTTCTGGCGCTGCATTCGACGATTTTTTTCCCCCCACGATTTATACTCTTATTTTCACCTCTGACCCTCCTCTGATAACCGCAGAACTCGTGGTTTTTACGTAAGTATTTAGGAGAAAATAGAAATTCGCAAAAAGAAAGAAAGAAAGCAGTGCGAAGAAAGAAAAACGAGCTTTAGGCAGAAGGAGAACAGAAAAGCTTGGAACGGATCACAAAAACATGCAAGAAATATGGAGACACGTTCGAAAACGTCCGTTTCATTCAAGATTTCCCATGACACTCGTTACATATCGTTATGTGTATTTCGTGTATTCTCGACGCACTTGCTGAAACCTACATCTGTATTTTTTCTTTTTTGCTTTTTCTTTTTTATTCGATACATTTTAGCCTCGGCGGCAGCGTGAGCGAACGTGCCGCGTTTTTAACGCTTGTAATCGTTTATAAATTAAACGCAGAAGACGGTTGCTGACTAATTTTTTTTTTTTCGCACTTCGTGTCGTTGCTTTTCTCTTTCATACAACGTGTTTATATAGTATATGTGTATCAGAGGATATATCTCATAGAAATTTTCTCGTTCGAATTCTACGTCCTGTTATGTACCTTCCTTTTTGTTTCTGTATGTGTGTGTGAATGTTGTGTGCCTCTACACGCACGCAACTAAAGAAGAATAAGAAGGAAAAAAAGAAAAAAAAAACACGAAGAAATACAGAGCGACTTATCATATCACAGTATCGTACGCAAAGCTTATATGAAATCGCAGATAGAACAGCATAAAGGCCAAATGGCGACACTATACGCATTTTTTTCCGTTTTTTTTTTTCTCGGCGTTAATAATATCTGAGGAGGACAATATTGTTTTTCTTCTCCCTCTCTCTCCCTCTCTCCCATCCATTCATTCATTCACTCATTCATTCATTCATTCATTCATTCATTCATTCATTTAAAGAAATATTGTAATCTGCACTCACATTCTTCCTTCCTTCATTCTTTCTATCCCTCACTCTCCCTCCATCCCTCTCCCATTGCATTTTCCCCTCTTTTACACTCTGCATAGCAATGACTCTTAACATTCATGGTCCATGACAACTTTGCATGAATCTAAAGTTCTCAGTATCATTAGTGACATAATAGTAAGCAATGGCCGTTGTGTTTACGCATCCTGAGAATAAATCGGGGTTTTCATTTTCTTTTTCTTTTTAGTAATTTCATGTTTGCTCTAAGTAATTCTTTCTCTCGATTAGACAAACTCGCACGTTTGACGATTATTTTTCTTCTTCGTTCTCTCCTTTC